CAGGGCAATTGTTCCAGTCTGCAGATTCGCAATGTTATCGCTACCTCAACAATCAAAGCTCCAGTTTCATGAATGCATTTTAAATTTAATTACGGTTTGCATATAATAGTTAATTTACATCAAAAAGTATCTCTTGCGTCACCAGCGGTTTTACCCCTCCCGCCTAAAACATCGGAAGATCAGGTGATACCAACACATCAGGCGACTGTCTCACGCTTTTAATTTTAAAAATAAATAAGTCATAATTAGTTCCAGGTAACCAAAGCGTAACGGATAAACCAAAATCATTGGTTTATCAAAGCATCAATACAATTGGTATCCGCTTGTGATAAATATATTAAATTACTAGAATTACGTGTCGCTAGAACGATGACGTAGCACGAGTGGCGAGCCCTCGCCTGATGTTCTCTGATTGGTCGAATCGTATGGTACGATTCTTGACTTAGTAGTAGGGGACATACCTAAATTCATACGGTTACTTTAATAAATGCGGTGTTGTCGCGTTTCTTGGGCTATTTTTAGATTCAGGAGATGAGAAAATAACTGTCCAGACTCTCACGATAGATAATTGCTTATTATTAAGAATGATTATTTATATTTTTATGTTGTAATTGATTTTGATTATTGGAATGTTTATCTTCGGATTATATATAAACCAGACTATAGTATTATCTCTTGTTTATATGTTTATCTCTTTAAGATGAATCACATTTGAGACGAAATTACGACATAAATTGTCTTAAGATACTGAGTAGTGCAAAATTACGAATTTGCCAAATAGTAATGTTTGCTACAAATATGGCAAAACAAGGTACAGGTATTCCAAGAATATAAGCCAATGGAATGACACTTTAAAGAATACCTACCTGAAAGTACATACGATATAATCGATTTTGCAACCAAGTTCAGTACACAGAAAATAGAGAAAAGCAAGAAAAGTGTGTACACTTCAAGATCATAAGGGAAAGTTAGGTTTTAGCGACCCGTTTGAAATCTAGAATACCAAGCTCTAACATCTATATATAAAATATTACGGTCGAATATTAGCTGCCAAGGATAAATAAATCCCAAAAAATCATTTGGAACAATATAATATCTAAATAGGTGGAAGAAAATAATTTAAGAAATATGTAATAGTATAATATGGTGATAGTTCGACATTATAATAGTTTTTTTGTACCTATTTTAGCTATTACGGTAATTTTGTGCGACTATTTTGAATACGATGGTAGTGTTATTTCAATTCTAATTGGAAAAAAGTATACTCATTATTTTTCTTTATTAGTTAACAAAGAAATTCAATAGGAAATCTGTAAACTGGAAAAATTTCAGGCGATAGGAAACTACAATAGCGTAGGTATTTTAATGAAAGGAATAATTTTGAAATCTTTAATAGTAGACCTGGCGATGTCAGATACCAATCAACAAGAAAACTATTAAGGAGTTCATTTTATTTTATCCTTTATAAATAATTGTGACGATAATAAAATCGGAAAAAATCTATAAGAAGCAACAGAAATACAAATTATTGCAAAGAAACAGTAACGAAAAAACAAAACAAAAGGGACTAAATTGACGGAAATAACATTCATAAATTATTATGAAGACAAGCTGAGATATCTACCATAGGAAATTCATTTTTCATAAAAAAAACTAAACTGCGTTCTATCATTGACACACCCATGAAGTTAAAAATAACGGAAATCTATTTTGATGATTTGAAAATTTTCCAAAAACCAGTTGTTGATGTTTAGCTAAAATATAGCGCAGTTGTTCACCTATATAGCAAAACCTATATATACTATAAACGAACGCCAAATTTTATTTTGGAGTCAACAGGTAAAGTGTAAAAAGAAGCAGGTAAGCAAGTCCTACAGGTAGGGTGGCTTTTGTTGCCCTCAGTATAAGTTTCTTGAAATTTGACAGATATAAATCAAATTAAAATAGACAGATAATGAATACAAAGGGCTTCAAACTGATTTTTGAACTAAATCTGTAGAAATGGAAGTGTAATAAATGTGTTTTTTTTGAGACACATCCCTGAGATGACCGTGTATTTGAAAATTGTTTATTTGATTTCAGGAAACTAATCAACTGTAACCTGAAGAAACTCATAGCATATGATTGGTCTTTATAAAGGTTAGTCTGTGAAAGGTTTTGAAACTCGAATCATAGGATCTTGATCCAAGAAAGAACCTTACTGAATTTTTAATCAGTAAGTCATCAAAGAAACAGATAACTCTGGATAGAGTTGCAGACAACTCTTGAAACGTGGTAGGTATACAGTTCCTATAAATTTCGAGGCTTTATTTTTAAAATTTTGTCCTTTGATTATTATTTATTTATTATACCAAGCATTGCAACATAAAGAGTTGGAATACAAAACACTCTCATATTATCTCTTTGTCCATCGTAAACCATGGGGAAAAATGCTATCCACGAAGAAAAAATTTAAACACTAACCTGACCCAATAAGTGCTAGACCTACAAGAACTGGAGCAAGAATTACAGAATACCTAACAGCGACCTCACAGAGAATATGACTATATAAACTCAAATGTATGCCAACTAATACACACAAAGCTGGAAATGTTAATGCTGATGTCATTACTAATGACCACAACTTCCAATCAGTGAAAGAGTTCATGTATCTTGGACCATGAGTCGACACCAAAAAGAATGAGAGAAATAAAAAGAAATATACTGGTAACCAAATATCTATCTAACAAGTCTTTATTTCTGTCTAACTATAAGAGCAAGACTATACAGCACAATCATAGTTATGGTTCTCATATTATGCAACTAACGAAATTCCATTTAATCTACCTATTTTTGTGAAAGAAAAATACCGTGCAAAATCCTAGGAGCGTTTTGTAAAACCGGATCATCATGGGCACATATAAACTAAGCTGCAAAACGTATACAGGCAGAAGTTCGCAGGAAAGGATATGTCTCAACTGGTTAGACCGATGAAGCCAGATGCTAAAAAGATCGGTGCTTCCAATTGGATGGGAGCTCCCCAAGCATCAAACACGTAGATCATAGGAAAATTAAGAACGATGAAGGCTTCTGAGGATTGTGGTACTATGATAATGATGAATTATTATTTCCGACTTCCAAAAGATTTCTAAATATATAAATAATTCATTAAATATTATAAAATCTGTAATATTATTCCATAGAAAAGTTTATCGTTTATAAAACACTTTAAGGTTCAATTGTGTAAATATAGTAAAAATAGTAATGATATGGATTATATGATACTATTATTTATATAAGTAATATTCTCCGTAATAGAACAATTAGGAGCCGCATTAATCATTTGAAGGCTGAATTTTGATAGTACCATACGATATGACGTAGCAAATATGGAGGTGGTGGTGTGATGTTTGATGACTTGTACAAATAATGCTAAATTACTACTAGCCATGTCCAATAAACAACCAATCAAAAAGATATTTACTGCAAATAAAAGGCCGGGACACCTGACAAGCCAGTTTTTGTGGGTTATTATTTTTATAAAGGTGTAATATTGTTTTTGTCTCTATAAAAACTGAAAGATCAATAATAAACATGTTTTGCTATATATTTTGGGAATAATACCAAGAAATAAAAATAATCCTCATCTCTCCAGAACAATTTGTCAGACTTTTTTACATTTTACTTTTGCAAATACTAATGAAAATTTTATACTTATTCCGAAAAATACTTATATACAATATTGAGTTAATTTACGTAAGTTCTAACCCCTTCTATAATAACTTCTCTTTAAATCCCTTTAACAAATGCATGGTCAGATTCCGGATGCACCAATAAATAGATACAAACTGTTTCATTGATGTTATATACAAAAACTTGTATATAGAGATTTATTATGTATGTATAAGAGACCATATTAGTCTGTCAAGCTGGCCTTGAGCCGGTCCTACCTGCAGCATACATTCTTTTATATAGAACCTTCGAGAACGCTGAAGGAGAGCGGCTATTGAAAGGGCACACTTGGCAATATTTTTAATGACAGGTATGATTTTTAACATAATATACAAAAAATTACTTGTACAGAATATTTGGATGGGAAAAATAATGTGGAAGAAATTGACAAAAATAAATTATTCTTTTGCAGTACATCTCATTATTATTTGTGTTTATCAATGACGAGGTTGGATATGATGTAAATTACAAATTTATCCTCCAGTGGGAGGTATGATGAACACAGAATTTCTGTTTTATATTACAGTTTTGGTTGAGTTTTCCTTTTTTACTTTCATCCGTACTCTTTGGTCATTTTACCGTTATTTAATGGTAATTATATTCAAAATAGATTTTGCAAAGACATAAAAACAATAGTAATGTTGAAGTCACAATACTCAAAAGAATGGGAAGGCGGAAGGCTATCGAGAACAAGAATAACACTTTTTATCCTGTAAAGTTAAGTACAAGCTTTATGAAAAATTAATCTATGGCACAATCGATGGAGAATGCAATGTAAGAGAGAGGGGGATCAATCAACTCTCCGACGCCACTGTACTTATCTTAGTTAAAAGACAAAATGTACCTATCCAATCATCGGAACTTTTAACTGACGCTAAATTATCTGTGATGAATTAAAATATCATTTATTTTACACAAATATTTACTTTAAAATTAGCAATATTATTAAAACACAGATTATTTACTGCAGAAGTAAAAGAAAATATCTAAACAATTTTGATAAATATGTTCAATTTTATATTTATGATATTAAATTATTACTTTTTGAAGTATATTTACTGCATAATTGATAACATCTAAGGTGCCAAGGATCTTATCAATGCATTAGAAAAATCCAAGGATATTTTTTAGTGACGAATAAAAAGTAGCAAAGCCTACTAAATTATTAAATAAATAATTGATTACAAATGGATTAGTTTTAATATTGGTAAAAGATATAGAACGAAATGTTTTTTTGCACAAACTATAAAAAGTTGTGTACCCGCCTTTTTTAAAATGATAGTACTCACCTGTTATGATCAGTGCAGATAAGACTGCAAAGCTGCATTTAATATCATTAACAATAGTATACATGTTGCTAACTTCTTTCACTAAACGTCACACGGGTAAATAAATAATAAGGAATTATAAATATTAGAAAGGAACTTGAAGTTACGAGAGTCACGTGGCAGTTGTGTTGATACGGAAACGACTACACTCTCAACTGCTTCGTGAACGACTGATTAGACGGCTTTTGATTCAACTATTTTAAAGCGGCTTCAACCAACGTATGTCGCGAAAAGCCAACAGCGTTGCCGGCTTTTGTAAATATATGCAACTACCAAGAAATTTTCCACTTAATTAAATTGTTTACTCTTACTATAAATTTTCCAGAAATTTTTCCTAATACGCAATAAATCTAGTTGTATATAATGTAAATATTTTGTACGAGATTATTCGCTTGATGATTTATTAAGGCGTGTTGTTCGAATCAGCCAATCAAGTCGCTTTACGTATGGAGTTTACTTGTTGTCCCATTATTTACCAATTAAGAATATTGCGCTTTTGCAATTCTATTTTTATTGAGTTAATTATATGTGGAATATACGTAAGATGTTTTTCTTGTCATGTTCGTTTTACTTGGCGTTTTAAACTATAGGAAAAAGCGAGGGGCGTTGCTATTATAACCAAAAGGGCTCGGATTGATTCATTCCCAGATTATCATTCAACCTAAGCAGTTTTTAGGTAGAGTATGCGATAAACACACCCAACGTCATCGTCTTATAATATAATAATAATGGATTTAATATGTCTGATTAAGGATATCGTAGAATAGCCAAGAAAAGTAATAACATATTAGTAATATTCGAGATAACTATTAACCCTTAACTGGTGACTCTATTTTTAATTACATAAATGCTGACCATGAGTCTGGCAGACTCCTGGCTAAAAAGCTGTTTTTGTCAGGCTGGTACCTAAAAAATGCAATAAAACAGTTTTTAATAATAAAACAATATTATTAAAAATTATAATATTTCTTCGCTATCCTTATTTATGGGAATATCAAGGATACTTCCGATCAGATCTTACAGCTGCCTTTGTAATGTTGGCATTTCATATCTTCTATGCAAATGTGAGGAAACGAGTTCATCGGCCAGGGTTTCTATAAATTTGAATCTAATCCAATTATTTTCGGGAATCGAAGTAAACATAATGTATGAATTTACTCCACATACGTCTACTATTTTATAAAAAATAGTATGGGCCATCTACGTATTCTGCGGCTACAGGAATATTTTACACACTTTTCATCCATCGTGTCTACATCCCCTTTGGTCAAATTGTAAAATGAATTTATTTCTGGTAGTCAATTATCTGCATCTACTTATATGGAATGATGCACGGAAGAAATTAATATCACAGCTTTATTTTTCTTAGTTGTACGATTTGGTCGCGGAATGAACTGTGCAGAAATTTTTTTTTATTTCTTTACATTGTGCCAACGTGAGTTTATGTTGTTGTATAATGATGTACTAAATCAACTGAACTAAACCAGTTGTCGCCAGTTACATTTCTATTAGTATTGTAAAGATGTTTGACTAATCTTATACCTGCTTGAGTAGGTATGCTCATTCTTCTTTCTTCATTTGTCAGGTTAAATCCATCTGAACCTTTCCCAACATAATTGTAGGCATTATGTAAATACCCAGTTCATGCATCAGTCATAGATAAGATTTTTATCCCATATTTACAGGGTTTGCTGGGAATATACATTTTAAAGCGACATCTGCCTATGTCTGCAGCATTTCCTCTAGATACACATTTTTCCCAACCGTATATGTATCTTTTGAATTGCTTACAAATAAGTCAAAGAATTCTTAGATAGCAGCAGTTGAATTATCCCTTGCTCTTTGTTCTCGGTCCGAGGCATCGTTAAACCTTAAGGTGGCCACCAGGGTCAGGAAACGTTTCTGCGAGATAAATGCTCTAAATATAGACATAAGGCTCCCATTCGTAGCAAACCGACTTCGTACATCCTCATGATTTGACTTATAAATAGAAGTATAAAGAATCAGTACCAAAAAAGCTCTCAATTCTATTTCATCAGTATCAGCCAACTCGGATTTGTCTTTTTTATATTGTTGATATTTTGGCCGAAAAGTTGCAAGTTTTTCGTTAGTTCTCTTGACAACAAGGCTATACATATCTGGTGAAAACAATTTATTAAAAATAATAACTTTTCTACTTTCGAACGGATTGATGGGAGTACAACAATATTGTGAGCAAGCGTACGGACGTTTCTAGTTGGCTCCTTTTTACTCCACTTATACCTATTCTTTCCATAATAATAATAATAATTAGTTGACACACTCTTCTTCATCTTCGCTAGATATTATTTCTGAGTCGTGTTTCTGGTCATTTTTACTTAGTTCTTGTTCACTGTCGGTAAAATGATAAATTTCTATATAATATCCTTCTTCCACATCATCATCACTAATGTCACTGTTCGCCTCATTGTACCATTTTGTGCACACTACTTCGAAATCATCGTCTAATACTCTTACAGCTTTACCATAACTATCCATATTAAAATTAAACTAATGGTGACCTTGCGTCTAGTAGACTACGTGACGTAAATATTTCGAAAACGGGACGAGCGGGGTACTTCTCATTAACACGTTCGAATATACTCTAAAAGCTAGGAAGGTACACCGATTACATGTTGCTACGTATTTGTAGCAAGAAACGCAGACGCGTTTTAAAAGTGCGGTGTCTGTGAGACGCGTGGTTACCAATTAAGGCTTAATACGGAAACGATATACTAAACGTACATACAGTCTGCAGCACCATATGAAATCTTAAAGTAAACAGACAGATAAGCCAAACAACAGCTCTAGGATTCACCAATCATCGATTCTCAATATTGTCGATCACCACAACGACTATTAATCAAGACCCGCAAGAAATTCAGCACCTCTTCAGTCGGACCTTCGCACTTGCAAGTCTGCTCCTGTAAATCTTTATTAATCTTCCTAATTTTAATTTTATTAATCTTACTTATTTATTGTAAATTTTTAAAGTCAATCTCTTCTTATTCCATGAATATCTTCTTTAAATTCATTTGAAGTTTTGGTTCCAATTTTTACACAACTAACTGCATTTTCGTACAATTTATATATCGCTCAGATATACGTCGAATCCAATCCGGACCTTTCGAGGACCTCAAACATTTTTCTTTAACGGGACACTATCATATGCTTTCTCAAGGTCTATAAATACCAAATGGGTCTCTCTACTTCTTTCGACACGCTTTTCAATTATTTGCTTTGGATAAATATATTATCAAGGCAGGATCTCCCGGTACGAAAGCCCCACAGAGCTCGTCACACTAATACCTCTATAATTGGAACAGTCTCTTTTATTCCCTCTCTTATATATGGAGCTTATATAAGATTTATTCCAATCTTTAGGAATTTCCTGGTCTCCACACATACATTTATTTAAAAGGTCTACTATTAATTCTAAAAGTGCAGTAGGCCCATATTTAACCAGCTCTATGGGAATGTCTCCAGGCCCTGCGCCTTTTCCGTTTTTAACCTCTGTTAAGGTTTCCGTCAATTCAGATAATGTTATTATAGGGATTTCCTGTCTTTCGTGTCTGTTATCTATTAATTCCCTTATCTTGTCCCATCTGTACTCTACTCTATCCTCTTTCAGCAGTTTCGTATAATATTCTTCCCATTCATTTAACTTTATGAGAGGAATGTTCTCTTCATTTTTCTCATTTTTCCTAAACTGCTTTAATGTTCTCCAAGCTTGTGCCACTTTTATTCCATAAATCCCATAAATCTGTCTAGTTCATCACACTTAGCCTCCCAGTTTACATTTTTCGCCTTATCCACTTCTTTTTTAACTTCTATATTCTATTTGGCGTATATTTCTCTGTTTTGAGGATCTTTGGATTGAAGCCATATGTGATATGCTTGTTTTTTCTTGAGAACTTTCTCTTCTAGTTCCGTTGACAACCATTCAGGTTTTCCTTTTGTCCGATTTTCAACTTTTCCCAGTGCTTCATTTGCCGCTTCGTGAATATATTTTTTAATTACCTCATACAGACTTTCAGGGTTTAAGTCCTTTGTTTCTATATTTTTTATTTTTTGAGCTATTCTAATTTTATATAAGAACTTTGTCGAATCTTGTTTAAAGCTTTCCAGGTTATATTTCATGTTTTCTATGGTTGCTCCTATGTCTGTTACTTCATCATTTTTGTGACTTGATTGATCTACGTTAGTTAAATAAAGTTAGATTTTTGTGATGTTTCAGATAACATCCTGTCACGATCACCGTGACCGACAGCCAGATGAGCTGCGTAAATCACATCATAAAGTTTATTTAATGGAATATAGTATTTTGTATTACCTTCACTCCGTGCAATCAGTTTTTCCACATCCACAATATTTAATACAGCAAATCGTTTCAATCTTTTTGGTTGTAATGATGTCTTTTCTCAGATTTTTCTGCATCTTCAACTTATTCAACGAGTTCCAAAATATTGGTCTGATGATAACACATCATAATGAGAAGACTTCCTTATGGATTAACCTACATCAAATCAACAAACATTCTGACAGAAAGTGAAAAGAAGTTTTTGGGAAAACAGCTGAAAGAATATAAGTAGGCTATGTATACTCTTTATTATTTAATTTCAACATTTCGTTGGTGGTCACCAACATTATCAGTGAATGCTGCAATTTATTTATATGAGAAATCACAGCCTTTTAATATGATCATACTTACAATGCGAGGATAATGCCGTATTAAAAGCTGGTCATCATTTTAAAAAATTACAAATATAAAACATTGAAAAATAGTACAAAAACAAACACAAACATTTACTATTGTAAATGCATGGACTATCATCCTCTTATCTGTATTGAATTATGTTTTATTTAATAACTATAAATAGTCTCAAAAACATGTTTATTTATTGGCGTTTGAAGGATATAACCTTTAAAAACTTCTTTTCTAAGTATAGGTCAAGAAGAAAGTTTTGTGGTCATAGTATTGGTGTAATGTTTTAGCTCACATAGTAAGTCTTGAGCACTATTAAAGTTGTTTTAACACAAAGTGACAGTTTAAATGAAAAAAAAAAGAATGGATTTATCGCCACATAAATTTTGAACATGAGGTGAAAACCTCCATTTTGATTAATTGTTGAAAAATATTTTTTA